CAGGAGGGAGTCCCCGATGACTAGGACCCGGCGTTTCTTCCTCCTGGTGTTCTCTCTCCTCCCAGTCTCTGTCTTGCGTGGAGCGGCATCGTCCCCTGCAGGGCCGACTCCTCTGCCCTCATCCGTCACCGCTGCCAAGGCATCAAACCTGTTCTCCAGCTGAACCTGGGGGGCTTCCACCGCTCTCCGCCTAGCAGCTCTAGATTTGGGCACCATCTTCCACTTCTGCGATGGCTGCGACTCCTGTGGGGGCTGTACCGTGGGCGACCGGGCCTGCAGAGAACAGAAATAGGCATCAATTTTGTCCTCTGCCTCCCTGATCCCCCTCAGCCTACTCACCACAGCCTGGAGCTCACCCACCTGCTCCTCCAGGGCACTAAGGCGTGCACAGGAGGGACAGGCCGGGGGACCACCAGGCCCCACCCCTGCCCAGGGCCCCGCCAAGCCCCCTCCGCAGACAGGGGGGCAAGGGGCCACCGACTCCACCACGAGCTCCGTCTGGGTGGAGGCCTCAGAAGAGCCCGTGGTAGGTGGCAGCCCCCGGGCAGGGCCCCTGGCAGCTGCGCTCCGCGTCTGCATCACCATGACTGCAGAGGTGCGCCCGCTGCCTACTCCCTGGAGGAGCTATAAATTCTATTTATTTCTAAACTAAAGTTTGCTATGGATTTAGAATCAAGAGCAATTTGAAGCAGAGATGTAACTTGCAGTATATTATGTACGTTTTACCAGCTGATGAAAAATAGCAGCGATTATTGAGGCAATTGTGAGCAGAGCTGCAGCTAAAGGGAAAATATTACCAACCTTGCCTGGTGCTCTGTTAGGAAGGTTGAATGTTAAAGGTGTTTTTGGAAGTGATTTGTGATCAGAACAGTGTACACGATATTAATTTAATTTGTCAATTTTTAGATTTGATCTTTGGTATGAATAATGTCTTGGTCAAGTATGTGATCATTTGTCGCTTTCAGAAATCTTTATCCCTTGATATGTGTAGCTTTATTAGACCTCAAAAGAGATTCTGCATGTAAATCATGAAAAGAAAACAGTTGCTTCTTGCCTCACTAGCAAGACTTTGAATTGATTTATTATTGCATATTTGCTCCAACCTTTCTCCAAATGTTAGCAACTTTCAATCCAAGTGCTAGGAAACACTACTTCAATCCGTCACTATTTTGCTGTTTATATTGTGTTTTAGTAATACTTGATCTTAAACTATAGCCCAGTAAGAGTGCAGAAATTAGGCTGAAACTTGAAGTCCTCTTGCTCTAGAGCAGTGAAGGCTAACCTTGCTAGGCATGCAACAGATTAAACCCTGCCACACCCTGAGTGCCAGTCAAATCCCCTTCCTATGTCCAACCTGCTGCTCTGTTTCCTGCTCCCTGCTCTGTGCTGTCTGCGTGATCTACTGCTCTGCTTCCTGCTCCATCTCCTATGTGCTGCTGTGCTGACTACCCCATCCACAATCTGGTGCATGCCACACACAGAAGCTACTTGTCATGTATGCCACAGGCTAGCCATCCCTGTTGTACAGCCTTGTGTTCTGAATTGAGTTCTGTGAGATCTGGGTTTGGTCTGATAGCAATTTTTTTTAATAGAAGTTTAGGAGATGGTGTTTATGGAAATAAGTCTGGAAAAGCAAATGAGTGTTAAACTATAGTGGTGTGGAAAAAAGCTAATGAATGAACAGAGTTCCTACTTTTGAACATAGCGGGATTTGAGTCTAATATTTTTGCATATTGGCCTTTGCTCACTGCTGTGTTAGGCTTTCTACTGACTTTGATCCACCCTAACTGATTCTTTAAGAACACTTATTTTAAACATAGGAAAACTGCTGCTTGTGGGCCTCAAAAATGTCAAATTGTAAAAAGGTTTGAGCCTAGGACATCTGCAAAACATTGTAAACATGGTGCAGAAGGTAGAAATGAGACAAAATGGTGCCTTTGTGAACGAGGGACAGAGTAATAACCTGCAGCCATCTTGCCCAACTGTGACCAAGAAATGAAGCCCTGTTCTCTTCCCTTTCCAGTCTTATCCCTCACAAAACTGAAGCAGAGACCAAATGTTCAAAGCTTTGAGAGTCAGGCTTCCAAAATTATTCATTTAGTTTTAAAAATTCTGATATATTTTTTTAAATAATATATTGGGGGCAGGGGGAAGTATTTATTTCCCTTCTGGTTTCTGAACACATTGCAAAATGTTTCACATTTTTTTTCTTTCCTCTGAAAGCCTGAAGACTAGAATCTTCATTTAAAAATGAAAGTTAATATTCTCAAGTAATCAAGTGACATAAGGAGTGGAGGCTTTTAGGAAAACAAAGTATCGTAAAACCCAGAATAAAATTGAGTTGATGACACTTTGGCATTGTATAGCAGCTGTTTCATTTGGAACCTCTTGTGATGTACAGAATTTTAACAAGACTACTAAATATGGCTGCCAAGAGTACATCAGTCACGGACTGAACTCTCTTTAACTTCTTTTCTAGGTGATGGAATATGAGAATAGGATCCGGGCCTACTCCACTCCAGACAAAATCTTCAGATACTTTGCCACTTTGAAAGTAATAAATGAACATGGAGATTCAGAGGTGTTTATGACGCCACAAGATTTTGTGAGATCCATAACTCCTAATGAAAAACAGCCAGAACGTAAGTAGTACAAGTAGTGTAGTTGTGGTATGTAATGGAGAGTTAGAGTAAATTCTTCTGCTTCTGTTTTTTTAGCCATGTTATGTGTCTCATGGAATGAGATTTGTCATCTAACGGTGGGTGTGGCACCTCCTGGTGGCCACTCTAATCCTATATCTTTTCTTCTCTGGTTAATTGGGGTACCTCCCTGTACTTGCCAGCCATACCTTTTACTATTTAAATTTGGGGGGCTGCCCCAGTCCACCAGAATGATTCCTTTGCTTCTCAGGCTTAGTCCCCAGTCTCTAATGGTCCTTCATTGACTGCAGCGCCTTCCCTAGGCACATTCAATAGCCTTCTTCTGCCCCTTCATCCATTCCCATCCCTTGCGGTTTCAAATGCAATGAGCAAAGCTCCGACATGATTCATTGCAGTGGGGTGACTTTCTACAACCATTCCCAAGGCTTTCCCTCAGTCCCATTGGTTTCAAGTCGCTCTGGCCCTCCTAGGCCCCTGCACAGTTTACTTAGGCTTTGGTACTGCTCCTTAGCTTTGTATAAAGAGCTTCTACTTGCATAGCCTAGGCTAGTCTCAGGTTCCCAGTGCAGCTTCCATCAGCCAGGAGGTCCATCTCCAGCTCTGCCCAAATCAAACTGACCCTACTGCCTCTGGTACAGGGCTTATAGTCCCTGGCTCCTCCTCCTTCTGACCTGAGGTCACCTCAGCAGGCTGCTAGCTGCTTATTATCTGGGACTCTGCAGCTTTCTAACTTTACTGGGATTAGGGCTAGGCAGTTAACAGGGGTTGGTCCTTGTTACACTCATCCGACCATCTTTATTGGTTGACATGCATTCACAGTGCCCAGTGCAAAGGTTTTGATCCCCTCTTTGGATGTTACTGTAATAAAAATTAGATATTATTGCTTACGTCCACCTATATTAATGAATGTGTAACACATGCAAAATAGTAAGGGTAAAGGTTAGAGGTGCACTGATGCATCAATCCATGTTGGATCGGCACCAATAACAGAAAAATTAACAATATCGGCAATTGGCTTTTTTTTGGCTGGTGAAGCCAATTAATGTCACTGATAAATGCCATGTGCATGCATGCAACTGCAGCATGCACACAGTCAGGAATGCAGCCCAGCAGCATGGAGAGCAGTGTTCAGCCAGTAATTCTGTGTGGGGAAAGGGGTATAAGGGGGGGCTCAGATCAAGGCCCCCACAGTGAGGGAGGGACAGGCAGGGGCAGGTGCTGCCCAGCCAGGGTAGGGTGTGGGGTAGCTGCAGGTGGCTCATCTAGAGGGTTGGGAAGGGCAGGGTTGGGGGGCACTGGGAGAGGTGTGGGGGGCCTGTGCCTCCCGGATTTGTGCATGAGGCAAGGGCAGGCTGCAGGCTCAGGGCTCGGGGCTACGTTGGCCTCTTCCCAGCAAGGGGGGTTGTGCTGGGGCTATACTCAGGGCAGGCAGCAGCGATGCTCGGGGTGGAGGGGTGCTACAGAGTGGGCTACAGCTACCCAAAATTCCCAGTAGCCACCCTGTAGCCCCCTCCCCCCCCCCCCAAGAGGCTGGTGTAGCCCCTGGCTCTGAGCCCACAACGTGCAGCCTGCCCTCACCCTGCACACAAATTCGGGGGGGGCACATGCCCCCCCATATGTTCTCTGGGGGTGTACATAACAGCAAGGAGCTCATCCTCCTATGCCCCTGGACAAGCTGTCTCGTGCCTTGATCTGCCTCCCCATGCCCCTTCCCCTTCCTTGCCCCATAGACTACCTGAATGCTGCTCTCCAAGCTGCTGAGCTGTATATTGGCTATCAGATTTGTATCAGCTGATACACCTGGTTAATAATTGGCCATTGGTATCAGCAAAAAAATCTTTATCAGTGCACCACTCATAAAGGTATAATTCACCAGATGGCTGCTAAACTCCATGCCAGAATTTTGGGTTTGTGACTAGTTTACTTATGGCAGTGCAGTACTGCAAGATGATTGTAATTACGCTAAGAAATGACAGCTTTCAGAGCAGTCAATATGCAGTAACTTTTCTGTGTTATTTCTGGCCACCTCTTGTCTGTCCAGGTAGAAATAAAGATCTGGTACACTTCTCAAAATAGAATAAAGGGAAGCTTCTGGCTCTCTGGTCAGTATCTTTTGAAAATTTTAAATAACCGTAGGCAAGTATAAATGTCTTGATGAACAGTCAATTTGTATTAAATTAGTAGTTAAGTGCTGCATGAAGAGTTGGTTGCTACATGTACAGTATGATGTGTAGGCATTTTTGAGAAACTGACATTGGAAAGTACTAAAACTGATTTCTGTCTTATTTTCTTTAAGAAAGTATTAGCATCTCTTTGGTATATGCCCTTGTCCAGCAGATGAAATTGTCTTCCTGCATATATTAAAGTGAATAGCCATTTTAAATGAATTCTCAAGATCTGCCAGAAACCTATAATGGTTTAAAACATTGGGAATGATGCCATTTGAAGTAAAGGCTAAAGCACAATAGGCCTAGTAGCTGCCCCATGTCTGTCAGACTGGTCTATATTTTCATGTTATAAAAAGACAGGGTTCTATTCCGTTGCTAAAATAAGGGTCTTAGATGGTTGCCTTAACATCCTCAGAAGGTGTTCCCTCCCACCTTTACCCAAAAATCATTGACAACTTGTCAGCTTTTTTCCCTCAAAATATGCATGCATGCCTTAAACAATTTACAAGTTACTTTCAAGATTGTCTCTTGCAAGCAGAAAAAACCTAAGTTAGGGAAAGGGTACATTTGCTTGTTTGTGTTTTATGCTGTAACTCAAAAGATTAAATATATTTTGTCAAAATTCACGCTTTCAGATGAGACCACTTTGGCCTCAGTGGATAACATTTCTGAGTCTCACTTGAATGAGGGGATTATGTATAATTGAAACCATTTTACACCTTAAAGTGATAGCAACTCGGCTACATTTGGGAAAACTGCAATATTAAATATATATTTGAGTAAGAATAATGAATCCTGTAGTAAGTATTATAGTAATGTTAAGAACTCATTGTTTAAAATGTCCTGATGAAAGTTATAGGTAGATGAGGTTCTTTGGGTAAATGTGATATATTTTATTAGACCAACTAAATAGTTGGAAAAATTGGTCTTTGCAAGCTTTACAGGCACAAACACCCTTCTTCAGGTATAGGGAGAGTCTGCTGGTGTTTTGTGTTCTCCTGGATGGAATAGAAGCCAATATGCAAAATTGGTCTGTGAGCATGCCAATGCATGGCAGTGAGGATCAGGGGGATGGGAGAAGATAGGTTTGAGACGGGGAGGGGGGAGGAACATTGACCTAGTGATAGACTGTACCTGGTAAAATGCAGAGAGGTTACCTGGAATATCAGATGGCAGGCAGGTTATAATGTGGCATAAATCCAATGTCTATATTTAGTCCATGTCCAAAGAACAATTTTTTTCCAACGGTTTAGTTGGGCTAATAAAGCGTATCGCATTTACCCAAAGAACTTTGTCTACCTGTGTCCTTAGACCAACATGGCTACAACCAACACCCCTGATGAAGTTTACAAAGTTTTAGAGGCAGGAATGAGTTGATTTTTCTCATGGTACATTGTGCTACTGGCCACTAATCTGAAAGTAGTTTAATGTTATAGGAATCAAAATCTTTACATTAAAACATGAGACTTTTAAAATTCTAACATCTTAAATGGATATTGCACATAGAGTTGGTACTTTAAGAAACAAATCGCTACTTGAGACATGAGCTGAAGTTTCACTTTTTTTATTTGACTTATTAACCCTTTTGAAAAGGGAAACACTAATGTTGCTGGCAATCTCTCCATGCATGCTCTGTGCAATATACTTGTCTAGTAGGCCTGTGTGAATAGGGAAGTATTTGATTCTGATTCATCCAACTTGGAAAACTGATTCAATTTGGTGATGTGAATCACTGTCCCCATTTGATTCAGCCAAATCTGAATCAGAGATTCGGATTGGCTGGGGAGAGGCAGGTACAGCCGGGTGGCTGCAGGTCCCCTGCCTCTCTCTGGGCGGGGGGAGCTGCGGGAGAAGCTCCCGTGGCTGCCTGGCCCCAGCCTGGCACTTTAAATAAATAAATAATAAATAAAAGCTCCCCCTGCTCACTGGGAGTAGTAGTGGCTGTGGGGGCTCTGGGGCCCCCCCCATGCAACCCCCACTGCCCTGCCTGGCCCCAGCATCCTGGCAATTAAAAAAAAAAAAAAAAAAAGCCCCGCACTCGCTGGCTGAAGTAGTGGCAATCAGGGCCTCTGAGTGCTCGTGGCAGACCCCCACAGCACAGTGGGGGCCAGTGGGGATCACCCCCCTGGCTGGCACCCTCAAGGCAGCTGCACCATGTTGTGGATGCAGCACAGGTCGGCAGGGCGTCACGTGCTGTCTGGAAGCTGGGGCGGCTCTGTGTGTCAGCTGGAGCCTGGCAGCACTCAGTCCCAGTGGCCCCAGCTCCCAGGCAGTGCATGGCGCCCTGCTGATCTGTGCCATGGGGCAGCTACTGCGCAGGTGCCAGGCAGGGGGGGTGATCCCCACTGCCCCATGCTGCGCGGGGGGACTCTGCCATGAGCCCTCAGTCTCTGATCCTCACTGCTGCAGCCGGTGAGTGTGGGGCTTTATTTTTTTAAATTGCCAGGATGCTGGGGCCAGGCGGGGCAGCCATCAGGGGCAGAGCTGGGCTGGGGGAGGGGAGGGCAGATTGGGGAGTGGGGACTGTGTGGGGGGGGCTCTGCCTCGTGGCCCCAGAGTCCCCACAGCTGCTGCTACTGCCGGTGAGTGCAGTTTTTTAAATTTTTTAAATTTTATTTATTTATTTTTTTATTCCCAGACATCTGGGGCTGGGGGGGGCATCAGAGGTGGGAGGGGGCAATCAGGGAGCAGGGGCTTCATGGTGGTGGGCTCTGCCAGGAGGCCTCACAGCCCCTGCTACATCTGGTGAGTGTGGGGCTTTTTTTTTAAGTGCCGGGAGGATGGTCCAGGCAGGGGATGTGACCAGGCAAGACA